CATCCAAATGAAAAAACTGAAAAGGTATACATAAATCTTATTTTCCCAAATCAAACATGTATTATTTATATAATTAAAAATTAAAACTTTTGAATATGTATGTATGAATGTATGTGTTGGAAAGAAACGGGTCCTCCCTTTTTTGTTTTTTTTTTTTTAATATTTATTTATTATGTATACAATATTCTGCCTGTGTGTATGCCTGCAGGCCAGAAGAGGGCACCAGACCCCATTACAGATGGTTGTGAGCCACCATGTGGCTGCTGGGAATTGAACTCAGGACCTCTGGAAGAGCAGGCAATGCTCTTAACCTCTGAGCCATCTCTCCAGCCCTTTTGGTATTTTTTTGAGACAGGGTTTCTCTATGTAGCCCTGGCTGTCCAGGAACTTGCTGGACAGCAAGGCTGACCTTGAACTCAATGATCTGCCTGCCTCTGCCTCCCTCCCAAGTGCTGGGATTAAAAGCGTGCACTACCTACCACACCTAGCCAGAAAAGCTTTTAAACAGGCTAATTTCCCCAAAGGTCAAAATGTAGGCACGTCGGTTTAGAAATCTCATGTGTATCTGTGCAGGCATGGTGGCTCGTGCCTGAAGTCCCTGCCGCAGACTGACTCTCTTGGAGATCGAAGACTGAGGGAGAACAGGGGTGAAGGCTTAGGAGAACCCAGGACAGACAAACACAACTCTAATATTAGAGATTTGAATCTGCTGCAACTTTACTAAGATTCAAGCATCACTTTTAAGAGATTACAGAAGGAAGTTGGCAGACATAAAAGTTTCCATAGAAAATGATTACAGATAATTAATTATTTTTAACAAGTCTTGTGGTCAGGGCCAGGTGGGCAGAGCTTTTCTTAGAAATTTGTCTCACACCACTAACTAACTGTGCTTTCTCATGGCCCTAAATCATACCTGCCCTCAAGGTAACCAAGGTAACCCAAACACCATTCTTCAGGATTCCACCCCCAGGGTTTTTTCAATATTGAATGTCTGACTTCATGTTATCAAGAATATCTTGCCTTTCTTTCCTATCTAAAATGCACCAAGGGTTTCTCATTCTGGCTAGCCTCTCCATAAATGGTAATTCATGCCATTCCATACATTTTCCTTCATAATTTGCCCATCTTCTACCAAATCTCCTATCATGAGCTCTTTCTGTTCTAGGGTATCTGTAAATTCCCCCAGAGAGCGAGCCAGAGTCTTAATCATAACATTAATGGCCTGAATCAAGGGAGGGAACTGACGCATCAGTTCCTCCGTGTTCAAGGAGCCGTTAGGAATGTTTCCTTGGTTCCCTGAACAGATTAAGTTTTTGTCAAGAGAAAAATAGAACCGAAGAAAGGATAGCAGAGTCAATGCAAGAAACCATCGCCAGGAACAAAGTGAACGAGGTTGTTGAGGCTAATCAGGCACCTCAGCTGTAGCAGACTGCCAGGGAACCGCCGGGGGCCAAGCTCCAAGAAGCACGAGCCCCTCATTTTGAGGCGGCCACTACCTGAGAGGCATTTTGTCACACAGGCGAGACAGCCGTGGATGTGGCAGTCCCAGCATTCAGGAATTGAGGTAGGAGGATTACCTTGAGACCAAGTCCAATTTGGGCCACTTAGTGAGACCCTGTTTCAATAAATAAATAAACAAATTTTGTTTGTAGTCTCTGAGAATTTAAAAGCTTAGATACTCTGTAGTGATATTTCTTCCTTCCTTCCTTCCTTCTTTCTTTTCTTTTTTTTTTGTGTGTGTTTTTTTTGAGACAGGGTTTCTCTGTGGTTTTGGAGCCTGTCCTGGAACTAGCTCTTGTAGACCAGGCTGGTCTCGAACTCACAGAGATCCGCCTGCCTCTGCCTCCTGAGTTCATTTGCATTTTAATAAGTAAAGCTTACCTGAAGATCAGGAGTAAAACAGCTGCACTGATAAGCCTACAGTCCAGACAGTGGTGGTGCACATCATTAATCCCAGCAGCCACACTAGTTAGCCATAGAGGCTGGGCAGTAGTGGTGCACGCCTTTAATACCAGCCCTAGAGAGGAATGTAAGACTCAGAAGACAGCTCTCACACACAGTCTCATTCTGAGATTCCTGGAGGCACCATTGCCATTTTGGACTGAGGTAGAGGTAAGAGCCAGTGGCTGGCTCTTTTGCTTTTCTGACCTTCAGGTTGAACCCCAATATCTATCTCTGGCTTTTTATTAATTGTGCTACAATATGCCTTGCATAGTGCATACCCTAAATTAGACGAAATAATTTTTTCTTTTACCTTACTGCCACATTGAATTGTGTTCAGCTTTTCAGAACCCTTTGGTGGCAGGTGTGAAGAAGGTCATGGGGAGCAGCCAGCTGGAAGGTTTTGCTCTAGCATCCCTCAAAGGTCAAACTCTGGCAGAGTGAGGCTGAATCTCATTAAGTCCTGTTGGACTTTACATTACAGAGCATTTGACATTTTTTTTTAAAGATTTATTTATTGTGTATACAACATTCTGCCTCCATGTATGCCCACACGCCAGAAGAGGGCGCCAGATCTCATTACAGATGGTTGTGAGCCACCATGTGGTTGCTGGGAATTGAACTCAAGACCTCTGGAAGAGCAACTAGTGCTCTTAACCACTGAGCCATCTCTCCAGCCCCCTGACATCATTTCTTTTGTTGAGTCCTCACAACTAAGTCCAAGGCTTCTCTGGTTATTTGGTGACTGTCTTCCAGCTGATGCTAATTAAGCCCTCATAGAAATGTAATTTAGGGCCTGCCATTGGTGGAGCACACCTTTAATCCCACCATCAGGAGGCAGAGGCAGAAAGATTTCTGTGAGTTCAAAACCAGCTTGGTCTACAGAGCTAGTTTCAGGACAGTCAGTGCTACACAGTGAGACTCTCAAAAAAAAAAAATGATATAAGGTTGATGTCAATGGTGGGTTTATCTTCATCTTTGCAGACATGTGGCATCACTCTGGCCCTTATGATGTAATTGGTTTTCATGGCCACTTAATCCTTGCTATGGAAGACATATGCCATACCTGTGGGAATGATACAGGACCTACATTTAGTGGGTGACAGGTCAAGGTGTAGGCCCTTTTCTGCCCTTTACCCCGTGGTGCTCCCTGACTGTCTCAATGTGACAAGGAAAATAGACACCACAAGTATGTCGGGCGGGTGGTGGCACACGCCTTTTATTCCAGCACGTGGGTGGCAGAGGCAGGCGGATCTCTGAGTTCCAGGCCAGCCTGGTCTACAGAGTGAGTTCCAGGACAGCCAGGGCTGTTTCACAGAGAAATCCTATCTTGAAAGACCAAAAAACCTACCACAAGTAGACATCTTAAAACTAAGCAAAGCAAACAAACCAGCGAGTGCTGGGGATCACACCTGTGAGCCAGAATAAAAGTATACAAGTGGAGGCGGATGGATGGATTGTGAATTCAAGATACATATATACATATATAGATATATACAGTGGAGGTCAGCCTGGAATCAAACTCAATACTCTTAGGAAAATAAGGGTCATCAAGATGGCTCAAGTATGTAAGGGTTACCCAAGACCTGGATTCAACCCCCAGATCCCCCATTGTGGAAGGTGAGAAATGATTTTGACTTCCCTACGTGAACTGTGGTAAAAATAAAAAACTAGGCGTGGCAGAAGGGTAAATCAAGGAACTGAGGCCAGGGCATGAGGAAAACGCGGGAGGTGATTACTAACCTCTGAGGGATTTTTTAATTTCAAAGCCCAGCCTTCCTCTGTGCGCGATTTACGCATGCGCCACACACAGCCTGATGCTCGCGCACCCTCTGGCGTCCTTTCTGATTAGCGCAGCTGCAGCAACCAGGGGCGGAAGCTAGGCCGGAAGTGCATCTCTTCGTTTCGCCCGCCTCTTCCGGCTCACTTCCGCCCACTCCACCCAGGCTCGCTTGCCGGAAACGTTCCGCGTTACTTGAGTCCTGCTTCTCTGGATCGAATCCGGACATCGCCAAAATGCCGGTAAGGCTTCGAGCCCCGAGGTCGGGGAGCCGAACGGGACCGGGGCCTGAGGAGGGACGGGAGTCCCGTTCTAGAAAGCCGGGGAAAGAGGAAACTGCCGCCCTTCTCTCCTGCCCGGCTCTTTGCCTCCAGCCCCAGGACCCTTTCTCTCCTCACTGTTTTCTCCCGAGTCCTGAAGTGTTCCCAGATCTCACCCGAGAGCTTCGAAGTTAAGAGCGACGGCTTTTAATTGATTTTTAAATCTAAGGTCCAGCTTCTCCTTTTCTCCCCCACCCCCACCCCTTGTCACTTCCACTTCCTCCTCCGCCTTTGGTTGGCCTGCTGCTAATCACCTATCAGGCTCATTTCCCTGACGGATCCCTACCTTGTCCACCCTGTTGTAGCTGTATTTCTACTCCCAGACCCCCACCGAGTCAGCACTGGTTCCCAGGAGTTTCCTTTGTCGTGTGCTTTGGGGTGGGAGGAAGAAATGACAATAGTCTGGTAGTCCTTAACATCTGATGTCAGTCTCCATCATGGGTTCCGTTTTGCAGATTAGTAAAGGGATAGCCGAATGAAGTCCACATTGGACATGCTGGACTCTCACTATGAAGTCCACACTGGACATGCTGGACTCTCACTATGAAGCCAGCACTGGTAACAGCAGCGACTAAGGCCCTCTCAAGGAGCTCGCATTTTAACGGGTGGACAGTTACCATGTAAATGTAAATAGGAGGTAGTTTCAGATCTTAAAAAATCCTATGAAGAAAATAGATTAGGAGGACAACACTGGCCTCCATGGTGGTACTTATCTCTCATCCCAGTACTTGGAGACAGAGGCAGGAGGATTGTAAATTTCAGGCTGAAGTGGACTATGTTGTGAGTTCTAGGCCAGCTTGGGCTATACAGCTATAAAACCTGTCTCCAAAATATGGGGGGAAAAGAGGCTCTGGAAGGTGCTTGCTGTGCAAGAGATGGTGGTGAGGGCAGCGCAGCTCATGTTTATTCCTTCAGCCCTGGGGAGGCAAGAATCAGGCAGACCCTCTGGGCTCATCAGCCTGCCAGCCAGTCTAGCCAAAATCAGCAAGTGCTGGGTTCAGTGAGAGAGAAAGTGGCTCAGTAGGTTAAATGTTTAGGGCACAAGGACAAGGACCTGAGTTTGGCTGCCTAGCACCCAGTTAGCAGTCGGGGAGGGGGCTCCTGCCTGTAATTCCAGAGCTGGGAAAGTATAGAGATCACTGGGGCTCCTTGTCTCACAAATAAAGAGAAAAGCAGTTGCGGAAGAGACCTCTGGCCTCCACGTGTGTACACATACACCTGCATGCACACATGAACACATTTACACACACTTCATACACGAATGAAGGAATTGAGGAAGAAACCCAGCATTTGACTCTGTCTTTCGCACACACAAACATGCATGAGCACATGCATGAACATGGGCAAAAAAGTAAGACCACTACAGTGTCCAGTGACGGGTGGTGAAAGGAGAGCAGGTGTAACTTTGAGCTGCGTGTGTGTTTGGCAGCACTGAGAACTGAACCCAGAGCCTCATCACAGCCTAAGTAGACCCTCTACCACTGAGCTATCATAAAGTTGCCCAGCCTGGCCTTGAACCTGTGATTCTCCTGCCTCAGCTTTCTAGGTAGCTGTGATCACAGGCCTGCATCACCATGTTTAGCCTTGTAAGGTTTATGAGTCTTAATGAGTCTTACAGTCACTGACCATTGAGATGTATGTGGAGACCTAGAGTTATTGTTCAGATGAGCCCTTCATTCTCAGGATGACACTGTGAAGTAGATGTTCTTACTGTTTTGGTTTTCCTGAAGGAACTAGGGCTCAGGGAATTAAGTGACTTGCACAGTGTTGCTTACAAGTAGTAAAGCCAGAGTTTAAGCCAGAAAGGAAAGCTACACTGTGCTCATTCTAGTTGGACAAAGAAAGTTCTGGACTTAACTGTGGTTATTTTATGTCAGCGTTCTCTGTTAGCGTGAAACGTCACACATGTCTGTATATGTATATATTTGATCTCATATGAGGGCCTAGAGAAATGGCTCAACAGTTAAGAGTGCTTGCTGCTGTTGGAAACACATATACTCGGTGTCTCACAAAGAAACATACGAATAAAGCAAAAGCAACTTCATGAAGCAGTTTCTTTTTTCCAGAAAAGGGTGTAGCATGACCTGGACCCAAACTGAGCTAGCAAGCACAATGGGATAGGTAGTTCATGTAGGTCTTATTCTCAACCAGATAGTGACTGTGTCTTTCATGACTGGCTAGTTTTCAAAGAATCTTCATGAAGGAAATGAAGGGAGGAGGAACAGGGTCAGCCCCTTGGGCTGTCGGGTTCTAGCAGTGTAGCAGTGCCTTTGGGTAATAGAAGTGTTACCAGGTAGGGAGATTAAAAGATTGCATAAGAGCTGGAGAGATGGCTCAGCAGTTAAGAGCACTGGCTTCTCTTCCAGAAGTTCCAAGTTCAATCCCCAACACCCAAATAGTAGCTCACAATCATCTATAATGGGATCTGATGTCTTCTTCTGGCATGCGCTTATAAATAAAATACATAAATAAATTAAAAATGTTTTAAATGTGCATAAAAGTTTTATTAGGTGGGACAGGTTGACTTGAAGGGCTAGTCACCGTCCGTAGGGAAAAAGTCCCATTCTCACACTGCTCTTAAGAGCACTGGAATTTTTGTTCCCAGCATCCATATCCAGCAGCTCACAACCGCCAACGCCAGGGAACCCAACACCCACTTCTAGACTCTGTGGGCACTGTATACACATAGAAATTCCCATACACAGACATAACACATACACATAATAAATTTTGGGTTTTTTGTTTGTTTGTTTTGGTTTTTGGAGACAGTATTTCTCTGTGTTTTTCTTTGGATCCTGTCCTGGAACTCACTCCATAGAGCAGGCTGGCCTCAAACTCACAGAGATCCACCTGCCTCTGCCTCCCAAGTGCTGGGATTAAGGCTTGTACAGCCAATAAAATATTCTTTAATCTTAAATTACAGCCATTCATTCTATCTCGCACAAAAACGGTGTTTAGCAGTCATTTGATGGATGAATGGTTTTGTTCACAGCAGACATAAAAAGCAAAACTAGGAACCAGCATATGAATTTGTTCATCAGCACGATGTTCCCTCTCCTGTAGCTCATACCTGCTCACCAGAGACGTAGAGTTTAGCTGGTAGAGTACCTACCTAGCATGCCTGAAGCCAATGCTGTGGTTATCTAGTCCTGTCATCTCAGCACTGGGGAGGTAGAGGCAGGAGGACACATTCAAAGTCATCCTCACCCACATAGTGAGAGGCCAGCCTGTTGGGGTCGGAGGGGGTTGGGAAACAGGCTCAGGGAAGAATCATGCAGTCTTGATTGAGACTTAAAGACGGGGAGTAGTAGGACGTGGGTCCTGCTAGCTGGAGGGTGAGAAACCCATTTTGTATGGTTTCTATTATGAAATGCTCCCACCAGAAGGAAACACATCCTTCCACACCACATTTCTAGCCTTAGGATATAATCCCAGGAGGCAGAGGTAGGCAGATCTCTGTATGTTTGAGGTTAGCTTGGTCTACCTAGGAAGTCCCAGGCCAGGCAGGGCTGCTCAAAAAGCAGGTCTGGCTTTTGAGATCCTATCTCAGAAAGAGCTGGTTCGGGAGAGAAGGTTCAGTGGTGAAGTGCTTGCCACTCTAGCCTGAGGGTCGAGTTCAATCCTACACCCCACAAAAATAGCCAGGTGTGGGGCATTCCTGTAAACCTGGTGCTGGGAAGGAAAGACAGGAGGATCCCTGGGGCTGGCTGGCTGGCTGGCAATCGAGCCAGTAGGTGAGCTTCAGGCTCAGTGAGAGCCCCTGTCTCAAATATAAAAGTGGGGAAGCGACTGAAGAAGGTACTCGACACTGACTTCTGACCTCTGCACACAAACACATGTATACCCACACACATGTACAGCCAGATCCATGAGGACAAACACACAAAATACTAGGATAAAAGAATGTTAAGAATATAGACAGTAGGGCCTGGAGAGATGACTCACAGTTAAGAGTACTGGCTGCTCTTCCACTGGACCCGGGTTTGAGTCCCAGAACCCACATGACAGGTCATCCTGTCTGTAACGCTAGTTCCAGGGGTCTGACACCCTCACATAGACATGAATGCAGGCCAAAACATCAGTGCATGTGAATAAAATGAAAAAAGGAAGGTAGAGGCAGGTGGATCTCTGAGTTCCAGGCCAGCCTGGTCTTCATAGTGAGTTCATACAGCCAGGCTGCACAGAGAAACTGTCTCAAGAAGAACAAAAAAAGAAAAGAAAAAAAAATTTTTGTTGTGAGTTCCAGGGCTACATAGTGGAAACACTGTCTTAAAACAAAGCCGGGTAGTGGTGGTGCATGCCCTTGATCCCAGCGCTTGGGAGGCAGAGGCAGGTGGATCTCTGAGTTCAAAGTCAGCCTCGTCTGCAAGTTAGTTCTAGGATAGGCTCCAAAGCTACACAGAGAAACCCTGTCTCGAAACACCACCCCAAAAAAGAAAAACAAAAAAGGAACACAGACAATAGTCAAATGTCTTGTTTTAAAATGGTGAAGTAGTAGGTACTGATTACCTCAGTTTTGCACATCTGATTTAGTGTGGGGGCATGTGTGCTTAACAACCAGTTGACAGTGTCTCAGCATCTGCTGGTTGGTATCTTGAGTTAGGAGCTGGTCCGGAGTTAGTCTCAAGCGGGTGTTTTTCTTTGGAGGACTGGCCTTGTCCTGTAACGCTTCCTTGTCTTTGTTCCCTGTTTGCCACTGCAGGCTTACCACTCTTCTCTCATGGACCCCGACACCAAGCTTGTCGGCAACATGGCGCTGCTTCCCCTCAGAAGTCAGTTCAAAGGACCCGCGCCCCGCGAGAGTGAGTCTCAGGGTTCTTTCCCATTTGGGTTCAAAGCGTCCAGCCAGCCTGCTGACATGAGAGTGGGGAAGAACTTAGCGGGGTCACATTCACTCTGTTGTGTCACACATTATACCTCGAGGCATCACAGGAAACCGCGTTATCACTTCTGACTCCTTTAGGTGTGCGGGTGAGCCAAAAGAGGAGATGTGGGCTGGGGTGAGCCTAGCCTGCAGGAGGGCCTGCCTTCCTTTCACAGCAGAAGAACAGCAGTTCAAGGTCATCCTCAGCAAGTTCTAGGCCAACCAACCTGGGCTACCTTGTCTCAAAAAAGAAAGAGGAAATGTGTTTAATTCTGGCCACAGTCAGTCATATCAGACTAACTGGATGCCAGGTCCCTAGCCTCCTCCTGTCATGCTGGAAAAGACAAGCAACAGAGAGCATTATGTGGGCATGGTGCTGTACCCAGGAGGCTGAGTCTGGTAGTTCATGACCAGCCTAAGAAACACAGGGAGCCCTAACTCCAAAAACGAGAAAAATTAACCCTTCCCCACTAAAGCTATTTCTTCTCTTGTCAACTTTTAAAAACAGTCATTTGTTTTTGAATGCACGTTTGTGTGTGAGGGCCTGCATGTGCCCCAGCGTACGAGTGGAGGTGAGCAGACAGTAACCACTTCAGTCCTGGGGATCCCAACTTAGAAGGCTGAGTTTTCTCTATGAGCCATCTCCACAGCCCAAGTCAGTTTATTATTCTTGGGGTCTTAGATTTCACCAAACCCTAGTATTAGACCACTTTTTTTTGGGGGGGGAGGGTATTCCAGAAGAGGGTGGAACTCTGGTGGGCCTGGAAGTCAAACTGAGCCAGCCTGAATTTGTGGTGACTCTCCTGCCTGCTTCCCCAGTGTTTGGATAACAGGCATGTGCTCCATGCTTCAGTCCTAACTCTTCATCTGCTTTGAAACACTGTTCATTTCTGACTTGCTCATGTTTTTCTGAATACTTTTGTTCTTGGGTTTTTTTTTTTTTTTTTTTTTTTTGCTTTTATTTCTTTGTTTTTTTTTTGGGTTTTTTTTTTTTGTTTTTTTTTTTTTTTTTTTTTTTTTTTTTTAACTTGTTTGGTTTTTGGTGGTGGTGGCTTGTTTTATTTTCTTTCTTTTTCTTTCTTTTTTTTTCCCATATTTCTTTTTAATTTATTTTACTTTGCTTTTAAATCAAAACCAAAAAAGCTGGTTTAAAGAAGCCACTGAGATGCTTGTCCAGTCTCCGAATCTGCCCATCTCAGGAAACGGTGAATGGTTAGAGCAGCCATTCTGAAGCTATAGAGCTTTACTGTGCACAGAGCTGAAAACGGGAAAATAGCGTTAGGACCTCTTGCCCATTTACCTCCGTGCTGTCCTTCCTTGTCACCTGCTGTTACTGTTTCTCGGTCTGCTTTGTAGATGTTATACTGTGCACAGACGCACACCTGCTTATACAAGCATGTGCTTAGGTCTGTATGCGGGGAACATGTGTTCTTTGTTGTGAGTTTGGGTCACCTCGATTAATATTTACTTTGCAAGTCCATCTACTTTCCTGTACATGTTATGATTTCATTTATTTTTACAGCTGAGTGATACTCTACATTTTGTATACAACCACATTTTCATTATCTATTCATCTATTGGTGGACATCTAACTAGGTTCCATGTCCTTGCTATCATAGAGTAGCAATAAACATGATGTATAAATATGTCTGGCAGGATAGGAATTCCCCCCCCCCCCCAAGCAGGGTTTCTCCGTACCTTTGGAGCCTGTCCTGAACTAGCTCTTGTAGATGAGGCTTACTTCGAACTCACAGAGATCCACCTGTCTCTCTGCCTCCCAAGTGCTGGGATTAAAGGCGTGTGTCACTACCATATGACCAGGATCGGAGTCTTTGGGGTATATGACCAGGACTGAGATAGTTGAATCCTATGGTAATTCTATTTTTCTTTGAGGAACCTCCAACCTGATGACCACAATGGGCATAATTGCACTCTGACTGGCAGTGAATTAGGCTTCCCTCTGTCCTACAGTCTCTCCAACCTTTGTTGCCAGATTTTTTGTTTGATTTTTTTGTTTTTCGAGACAGGGTTTCTCTGTAGCTTTGGAGCCTGTCCTGGAACTAGCTCTGTAGACCAGGCTGGCCTCACACTCACAGAGATCCGCCTGCTACTGCCTCTGAGTGCTGGGATTAAAGGTGTGTGCCACCACCACCCAGCTTGTATTTTAATTTTTTGTTATTGATATCAGCTTTGTTTCCCAGTCTGGTCTGTGATTCCCAGATTTTGGGACTGCGCACCTTTTTACCTGTTTGGTGTTTGTAGTCATCAAGATGGAATGCCCACTCTGCCCCCCACTGCCCTCCAGATCCCCCATTTGCTTTCTGAGGCATTGTGTTTACTGTCCCAGAAGCCTCTTTCAAACTCTGAAGCTTTCTGACATGTTCTGAGATGTTCCCCCAACAGTGTCGTTTCTGTTGTCGCAGATACAGCACCCCAGAGCCTGCAAGTGTCTGGCCTGGGTTCCACTCACAGTCTCCAGGACCACAGTTACAATTCCCATCTGTGTCCTCACCCTCTTGCCCTTCCTCTGCCAGATTATTCGCCTTGACCTCCTCTTAAGTGAATTGTTTTTAACACTGGCTGAAACATAAGTCACCCCAGTTTTTACTTGATTCTGAGAAAAAGGAGCAGATGGGGAAAGGCAGACATGAGGAGAACATCAGTACTAAAATGTTAACAGCCCAAAGAAAAAGAACGTTGGCCCAGTTTGCAAGGAAGAGCCGTTTGTTGTATGGTTACAGATAACACATTGTCCCGGAAGGCGCAGCCAACCTAGACTGGAGAAAACACTAAGCATCTTCCTTGACTCCTCGAGGAAGAATGAGAGTCTAAGAAACTAAACAAGTGAGGGGGTGACTTCTTCCTTTGCCAAAGGACTGGAACTGTTGGAGTAGATGTCTATGTTGTGAGTTATCTTAGCATTGATGAGATGAATTCTGGGGCAGGAGCACAGCTCCATGGTAAAGCTTGTGCATGGCGTGTCTGAGGCCTGAGGTTCAAGATCAGCTGCAGAAAAATTCTTTTCTGTTGTGCAAATACCTCTAGATGTCTTTGTGAACCATGCTCTGCTCTAGGTCCCCTCTCCTGCTGTTTCCTCCCAGGTGCTCAGGAGAAGTTTCCTTTTCTTGAGAGCAGAATGCAGAGAACACAGCTGGATCCTGCAGAGGAACTAGCTAGGTTGTAATGGGGTCGCCCAGGGCTGCAGCCTTAGGGCTGCTCTGCCTGCACCACTGGAGACCAGGCAGCCAAGGACAGGAAGTGTCTGTCGGTGGCCTGCTGCAGCCAGCTGCTGCATATCAAACCCAGAAAGTCTGTCCTTTCAAAATGAAAAAGAGAAGCAAAGATTGCCAGAGAAATTGTTTAATGAGCTCTGTTTGTCACAGAGTGCTTCTGGCTTTCCTCAGTGTGGCCACTTAGAACAGCTCATGCTGTATTTAAACCAGTTTCCATAAAAAGAGAGAAGGTTATCTGAACCCCAATGTTCCTAAATAATTTGAGTATTTCCCTTGAATCTCCAGTGCACGGGTTCAAATAAAATTATATTGGATGCTTTTTCCTTTTCAGGGCATTTTGTTAGAGTGTTGGGGCTGGAGGGATGGCTCAGTGGTTAAGGAGTGCTTCCTGCTGCTCCAGAGGACAGATTTGAGGGCCCAGCACTCACATTGGCCTCATAACCACCTGTAGCTCCAGCTCCAAGGGATCTGATGCCCTCCTCTGACCTCTATGGGCCTCTGCACTCATGTGGCATACAAACAGACACACATAGAAGGGTTTTTTTGTTTGTTTTTTGGGGTTTTTGTTTTGTTTTGTTTTTAAAGGGCGATAGCCTGTGTCTCAGCCCATTTTTATAAGTGCATTGAGGTCTTAAATGGTTACTAAGCAGTGATAGTTTGCTCTGGGTAATAAGAATTAAGATGGCAATCTTTTTTTTTAATTGATTGAATTTACTTTTCTAATGAGCACATAGATTTTTTTTCAGAGATAGTAGAACTAAAAATAAACCACTTTGGTTTCTAGAAATACTATTAAAGACTGTATTTCAGTAGCCCTATTTATTTTTTTAAGATTTTATTTTATACGTGAGTGTTTTTGCCTGGTGACCTTTGAGCCAGAAGAGGGCGCCAGATCCCCAGGAGCTAACCCAGGTTCTCTGCCAGAGCAGCCAGCCCTCTTAATGCCCAAACCATCTCTCCAGCTGGCCCCAGCCTCATTTCCTTTATCCAACTCCAGACCTTGTGATAATCGCGCTTGGAGACCTCTCCTTGCAGCTGTGGGTGGACCATGTCCCTTTGGTAATATCTCTGCCTTCCTTCTTGTTTCCTGCCTAGCAAAAGACACAGATATTGTGGATGAAGCCATCTATTACTTCAAGGCCAATGTCTTCTTCAAGAACTATGAAATTAAGGTAACTTCCAGAGCTGGGGGTGCTTAGTTTTCAGATGGGGATGAATGTCTACTTGAGCCAGGCAGTGGTGGTGCACACCTTTAAACCCAGCACTTGGGAGGCAGAGGCAGGCGGATCTCTGTGAGTTCAAGACCAGCCTGGCCTACAGAATGAGTTTTCCAGGACAGCCAGGGCTACACAAAGAAATCCTGTCTTGAAAACCCAGAAAAACCAAAAATCCATCAATCCATCAATCTACTTTGAAGTCAGGGCTGCTGTGAGAGTTAAATGAAATGACGGTGAGACTAGAATCTGAAAGCAGAGCTGAGTGGGAGAGGCTATGGGTTGTGTGGGTTTTTTTCCTTCTTTTTTTATTTTTATCTTTTTCCTTTTGATATTATTTATTTTAGGCTAGGCATGGTTATACCCACCTTTAACCCCAGCACTTGGGAGGCAAGTAGATATGTATGAATTAGAAGCCAGCCTGATCTATATAGTGAGTTCCAAGACAGCCAGGACTCTGTAAAGAGACCCTGTCTCAAAAAGAGAGAGAGATTATTTATCTGTGTGTGTGCATGCATGCACACACCACATATGTGCAGTGCCCGTATGGGCCGGAAGAGGAACTGGGAGTTGAGTCCCTTGTGATTGTAAGCTGCCGTGTGTGTTCTGGGAGCAAACCTAGGCCCACTGAGAAAGCAGGTGCTCTTAACCTCTGAGCTTTCACCCCAGCCGTGTTAGCTTTTATTCTTTCCCCTTCAAAATCTTCGCTATTCTGCAAGCCAACTGCCCCACTGCCTCTTTTTGAAATAAAGTTTGTTAGAACACAGCCATGTTCATTTGTTTCTGTATTGGCTATGGGCTGCTCTCATACTGAACAGTGGCTAACCAGCCACAGCAAAGACTGCATCAGCCACAAAGCCTAGAAAGCTTATTTATTATCCAGACTTGACAGAGTTAGCCAAGCCCCAGTCTGGATGCATCGCTATTTACTTAGTATTGATTAAGCATCCAGGAAATGCCAGGCCCATGTTTACGGATAACTAGTCAAAGTCTCATATGTTGCTTGTTTTCTTTGAAACAGGGCTTTACTATGTAGGGCTGCCTGGAACTTGTTATATAGGCCACACTGGTCTGGAACTTACACTGGTTCTCCTGCCTCTGCCTCCCATCATTGTTTTGTATGTGTGCAGGTTGGACACTGAGAATAAATTGCTGTCGTACCAGCATTAGGAAACTGAGGCAAGAGGACTGTTATGAGTTCCAGGCTGAAATTTTGTTTCAAAAAAATAAAAACAATGCCCTTCTTCCTTACTCTAAAAAACAAACAGGCCTTGGATGCTCCAGAATCCTAAGCTACAAACTGGATTTTGGAGTGTTTCAGACTCAGGATGAAATCTATGCAGATATTCCCAAATGCAGACCATGCCAGCATCTGGAAGACTTCTCACCCCAAACATTTCTGAGGGGCAGTCCTACTGCACTGCTGTGTTGTGGACCCAGCTGGGATGGGGGGGAGGGAGCCATGAATGACCTGGCCCTTCCTTGGACCACTTCTCCCCTTCTCTCCCTGTGAGGAAGGTGGTCAATGAGAGAATAACAGTGCCTGGCTGTAAAGGGGACAGATGTACAAAACATCTCCTGAGCTACTGCAATGAGCCAGGCACAAAGAAGGGCAAGGAATGTTCTTGACAGTGTTGTAAACTGTGTGACTTCAAACTCGGCTTGCTCGACTCTGGGATATCAGGATCCAACAGGATATGGACACTATCCAGCACTGAGTCGCTTGTGCTGTGTTTGTGAGAGGTATGATAGGGACAAGCTGGATGTAGTGTTTGCCTGTGAGGAGCCAGAGGCTGAGGGATTGTCCAGGAATCAGAGACCCTGGCTCATCACAAAGTAGAGCAGAGGGGACGTCTGACTGTGACTATAAAACTGGGCATGGGCTACAGGCCACATGTAGTCAGTAGTCACTGTCTTTAGATTCTCCTGCTGGTAGGATGAGATGTCGGGCCTGTAGGGCTCTATAGGGCTCTCCGAGACTTCTTCCACTGCCAAGGAAGGGTGTGTCTGTTCTGAGACACTCAAAGGAAGAATGGTTTTTAAAAATAAGCCACCTTAGGTTTTTAAAAATAAGCCACCTTAGCTGGAAAGTGGTGGCACAGGCCTGTAATCCCAGTACTTGAGAGGCAGTTCAAGGCCAGTCTGGTCTACAAAGCAAGTTCCAGGATAGCCAGAGGTACACATAGAGAAACCTTGCCCTTTTGTTTTGCTTTGTTTTGTTTTTTGAGACAGGATTTCTCTGTGGTTTTGGAGCCTGTCCTGGAACTAGCTCTTGTAGACCAGGCTGGTCTCGAACTTACAGAGATCCGCCTGCCTCTGCCTCCCGAGTGCTGGGATTAAAGGCGTGCGCCACCACCGCCCGGCAAACCTTGCCTTTTTAAAAAAAAAAAAAAAAAAACCACACTCTTATAATCACCCGCAACTGTTCGTTCTCCAACTTATATAGCATGAGGAAGGAGCTGTGGAGCAGGGCAGCACGCAGCTGGGCTTGGGGAGAGAGACCGTGCACCCTGTGGGTTGCCAGTGGATCATGAAGGCAGACGTGCTCTGAAATGTCCATCTCATGTGGCCATTATGTTGTTTTCTTTTCCCTCGCAGAATGAAGCAGATAGAACCCTGATCTATATCACACTCTACATCTCTGAGTGTCTAAAGAAACTTCAAAAGGTAACAAGGTTTGGCTCTTCACATAAGGACAGCAGACAGAGACAGGCTATCCCTCAAAACCACCTGGGTCTGCTAAGACCCGAGGAGAAGCCAAAGCTCTCTCTGCTGCGGTCTCTGAATCCATAGGGGAACTGACATGAAGGAGGGCGGTGAGGTGTCAGGAGACAGTAGTCTCCTTCATCCTCTGAGAACAGTGGAGCATTTGCATCAGGCATGGAGTGGGCAGCAGGACACAGCCATGTTAGCATCTCCCCCACTTAGAGGCTCACAGTCCTCATGTATTTGAGAGAGCTGACTTTGAAATGTGTTCGAATTTATCACTACTTCAGAATTTAACTAGTAAGATCTTATTAGGGCCCATTGTGGTGTCGTATGCCTTTAATCCCAGCACTCTGGAGGTAGAGGCAGGTGGATCTCTGTGAGTTCAAGGCCAGCCTGGTCTATATAACAAGTTCTTGGATAGGGCTATGTAGTAAGATTGTTTCAGAAAACTTAAAATATATNGGAAGAGAAATGTGTTCCTGCCTGGTAAGTTTGGTTTTCAGTGTTTTAGCTATTGTATTCCACTGTTTCTCTGTAGTTTCTCTTGGTTTTACTTCTTTGACACAGTGTTCTAAAGAGGGCTGCAGGTTCACTTGCTGCAGAAGTGCACTCACGAAACATAGTACACTCCTGGAAGCTGCCGGCACCAAGCAGCTGGAGTTTGGGAATTACTCTTTTTCTTATCAATGTGTCCTTCAATTTTAGTGCAATTCCAGGAGCCAAGGCGAGAAAGAAATGTACACGCTCGGAATCACAAACTTCCCCATTCCTGGAGAGCCTGGCTTCCCCCTCAATGCCATTTATGCCAAACCTGCGAATAAACAGGAGGATGGTGAGACGGGACTGTGCCTATGAGGGTGTGTGTGTGCGCGCGCATATGTGTGTGAACTCGTGTATGCAGCCATCCCACTGTCTTACTTTTGGTGTTGATGTGTGGTTTTTTGATTGTTTCTTGGATGTGGTCTTTCTGTAATCTAGGCTGGTCTTGAACTCATGGCCCTCTGCCTTGATTGGTGTTCATTTTTTGTATATGGTGTGGAGGCGAGCAAGTAGGTGTGGGTGCGAATACACTTGTGGGCATGTTCACTTGTGTGCGTGTGTGCGTGGAGGCCAGAGATTGATGTCAGGTCATTCTCCACATTGCATATTGAGGCAGGCTCTTTCACTGACCATGGAGCTCCCTGATCCAGCTAGTGTAGCTGGCCAACTTGCTCAAGGAATCCTCCGACTCTGCCTCCTAAGGGAAGGGAGTACAGGCCAGCCACCATGCCCACCCTACCTTTACATGGGTGCTGAAGATGCACATAGCAAGCTTCTTCTCCACTGAACCATCCCCCTAGCCCAGTGACTGGTGCTCAGGTTGACAGTAAGGCACTTAGTACACATGTGTCGCCTTACTTTCACAGAAGAGCTTGCTAGCAAGTGTCACATGCAGAGACTGTTGGGCCAAAATGAATGTAGTTATAAGACCATCTGGAGTCAGCAAGATGGCTCAGCCGATAAAGGTGCTCACTGCCAACTCTGACAGTCTAGTTCGATTCCTGGGACCCACACCAAAGGAAGGAGTTTACCATCACACACACACACACACACACACTCTCTCTCTCTCTCTCTCTCTCTCTCTCTCTCGCTCTCGCTCTCGCTCTCTCTGATCTGGACCATTCTTTCTCTAAGCTGTTTGAATGGATACAGATTCCTTACTAAGGTCAGTGTCTGGCTGGACAGGCAGTGCGTCCAGCATATCTCCTCACATGCAGATTTCCCTGTTGCAGAAGTGATGCGGGCGTACCTACAGCAGCTGAGGCAGGAGACTGGACTGCGGCTCTGTGAAAAAGTTTTTGACCCTCAGAATGATAAACCCAGCAAGGTGAGCCTTTTACGCCACCGAAGCCTTCTGTCCCAAGAACACTCACTTCTGCCCGACCTGGAGGGCTCGGCAATGCAGGGCTCACTGCCCCACACTCACTACTGAACAGACTCCAGTCATGCACAGGGTTTGTGTATGGGTGTGTAGCCATTGCATCCACAGTCTGTGGGTGTTATGTAAAATGGCATGGTGTTCGTATATAGCCTCTGTGCATCCTCTGTGGGCTTTGAATGCCCCAGGTTACCCACACTCATGGCGTACTGAATTCCATGTAAATGATGACTCTTGCCTTGCATAGGGAACAGTCACAAGGAGCAGTTGGTGTGTATTCACTACATGGTAGGGGCCCCTGGGGAGGGTGGGGTTTGGGAAAATAGCACAAACTGGGCTAGAACTGGCTACACAGCCAAGGGTGACTCAGCCCCCTACCTCAGCCTCGCTAGTTCTGCAGTATATGGGTACACTATGTCTGGTTCTCCCCCCTTTCTATCTATGGATGGATGTAAGCCTCACACCTATGGAGGGCAAGTAAGCACATTTACTTTTTCTGCTGTGGTAACCTTTGAATTTGATGTAAGATGCCAAGCTAGTTTAGATACAGTTGTGTGTCATAAGTTAACTGGAATTCTGGCCTGCCCTTGAGGTTGCATTGTGCCCTGACCCTGAGATCTGTCTTGTGCCTTTGACAGTGGTGGACTTGCTTTGTGAAGAGACAGTTCATGAACAAGAGTCTCTCAGGACCTGGGCAGTGAGTGGATGGAGCCCAGGCAGCATCACATCAAGGTGTACACAGTTCTTTGTGTCCGTTCATAATGGATCATGAAGTGAGGAGCGATTGTGTCTTTGCCTGAAAAGCTCTTGATCAAGAATTTGGGGGGTGGGTGTCAGGTGATCTGAATTTTTGGCAATTTCAGGCTGGTACTTAATATGTAATAAATGTCATTGCTTATCTTAGACATTGAATTAAAACATTTTTGAGATAAAGCTTACCCTGTACCTTTTATGGAAAGGGGTGTGGGTATATTTGGGAGCAGGGGACTGGTGTTTATGATTTGGTTTGTCTTTTTTGAAGCAGCCTCATTGTGTAGTCCCAGGGTGGCCCATAACTAACTATGCCTCCCACATGGGCCTTAAACCCCAAATCCTCCTGTAGGTGTCCTCCACTGTGCCAGGCCCCATCGTAGCCTCTCAAATAACGGACAGTGTAATGGTTGTCAGTATATATGTAGTTCCATATATCTACATGCCACACCCAAAAGATGTGTGACCTTCTTTGCTCCAAAGTCTTCCTGTCCTCAGGCTCTGGACTAACCTAATCTAGTCTCTGTTTTCTTGATTTCTTTACTCTAGATATTTCATATACTAGAGACCTATAGTGGATAATCCAGCCTTTGAATCTGGCTTCTTTCCCTTAGCATGTTTCTAAGTCCGTCCCCTCCCCCTATTCCTCATGGAAGAGGAGTCTGGCTTTTTTCCCGTAGCACAGCATCTTTGTGTTGTACCCGCGTGTAGTCCGTTCCTTTTTACAGCTGAGTAATATTCCATCTTGGTGCAGATCACACTGTATTTATTCATTCATCATCCAGGGAACATCTGTGTTGTTTCTATTTTGGAGCTCTGACCAAACAGTGTTGCCAAGAACATTGGTGTGCACATTTTTAATGTGCACACAAGGTTTCTTTTGCTTATTCTATCCCTCAGAGTGGAACCGCTGAGTCACATGGGAACTGTTGAGCCTTCTGGAGAACAGCAGTTGCACTGTTTTACATTCCCACAGGGACATGCGACCGTGCTGTGTCCCCCTACCTCGCCAACACTTGTTTCCTTCCTTTGCTTCCCTGTGACTGTGACGTGGCGTCTCACTGTGCTTTGGCCTCTATTTCTCTAAGATGGGTAGTTGCTTTGCACCTTCTCCAGAAAACTGTTTACTTCTTTGTCCATTTTCCTTTCTTTTTTGTTTTGTTTTGTTTGTTTGTTTTGAGATAGCGTCTCAACTTTGTAGCTCTGGCTGTCCTGGAACTCATTGTATATACCAGGCTGACCGTCGGAACTCACGGAGATCCACCTACCTCTGCCTCCAGAGTGCTGGGATTAAAAGTGTGAGCCACTATGGTCTGATTTAGAATTTCTGTTTTGGACAGAGTTCCAGGCTGATCTTGAACTTGAGGCAGTCCTACCTCAACCTCTCCATTTCCCAGATGCTCGTGAGCCACCTCACTTGCCTTAACTAAGTAGATGTGTTTATTATCTCTTTCGAGTGGGCCTCAAGGAACTCAATGTCCTGAAACTTCTAGGTAGCCAAGGATAACTGAACTCCTCCACCTCCCAAGTGCTCGGATCAAAGGTGTGTGCCGCCATGCCTGACTGAGTGTCATTTGCGTTCCTGAGCTCAGTCCTCTGCAGGATGTGTTTATGAGCTACAAACTAGTTAAATACCGCTTTCAGCCCAGTCCAGCCCAGGGCTGTGCACAAACCTGTCCAGGGCTGGACAAAAGGATTAGTATAGAGGCTGTGGGTGCAAGCCCAGCGTGAAAGAAAAACAGGAAAATAAGGAAAAAATAAAAAACAAAACCTATGTATATTAAAAGACACATCTTAAAGCAAAAAGGTGGTATTCTTGGGTCATTTCTCCCGGCATGTTAGTCCCTAGGATTAAATTCAGGTTGTCAAGTTTGGTGGCATTGTCTTTACCTGCTAAGCCATTCCAGGTCATGTTGGCCCCTCCCCATGACTTGTTGGTTTGTGGCAGGGTAGCTTTGGCTAGCTTGGGAGTCTCTATGAAGACTGGATTTAGCTGGGCAGTGGTGGTGCACACTCTTAATCCCAGCACTCAGGAGGCAGAAGCCGGCAAATCTCTGTGAGTTCAAGGCCAACCTGGTCTACAAGAGCTAGTTCCAGGACAGGCTCCAAAGCTACAGAGAAACCCTGTCTTGAAAACCAAAAAAGAAAAATAAAAAATCCATCTGCCTCAGCCTCCCCCATGCTGGGACTAAAGGAATATGCTGCCACACTAGAAAGTACAATTTAAAGTACTTTAGCAATAGGCGTCAAAATTTGTATGTGTGCTGGGAACCGAACCCAGATCTACTGCTGACTGGGACCCAACCCTGTCAGATGTTTAAGTATGAAGTCGTCTTGGTCCAGCCATTCACTACTCAATGATGAGAAAATAATCCATCTATCAGTCTGCTATCCCATTCCCAGCACTTGCCTGTAACGCTAGCACTCAGGAAGTGGAGGCGGGAGGATCAGAAGTTTACAGTCATCAGCTACATAGCAAGTTTAGGGACAGTTTGAGACCCTGTCTCAAAAAGGGGGGAAAAAAGCAGCAGCAGCAGTTGGGGCTGTAGCCCAGTGGCAGAACATTTGACAGGCATGCACAAGGCCCTGGGTTCAATTTCCAGCCCTTTAATAATAGTAACAGGTAATAAATAAAGAGGCAGTCTGGTAACCTTGTTCTTTTCCCATAAGCATCCTGTTTATATTCGTCATTTTACTAGGACGCTAATTGCTGTCGTTTATCATCGGGTGCAGAAAGGACACAGTGCACGGAAATACTGGAACAAGATTGATTTGAGTTCTTTCGCTCTTAACTTTTTCTTCTTCCAAAAACTATTAGTACTGAAGATCTTTAAAAAACAAAACAGAGATAGCTGTAGCATTCGCGCTGAAAGCACTTTGCTTTGTTTGCCCTTTCATTTGTGTTTACAGATGTTAGGCCACTCCATCAGGAGGGTGTAATTTTCAGGCCACATCTGTTCTGTGTCTATGCTGAGATGAATCGTCCATGGGTTTCTACTTTGCTTTGGCTCTGAAGCTCCAGTTCACAGGCGACCTGCAGCGTGTTGACACTTTAAAGTCCAGTGTACCCAAGCCTGTATGGTGACACATGCCTTTAATCCCAGCACCTGGGAGGCAGAGGCTGGTGGTTCTCTGAGTTCAAGGCCAGCCTGATCTACTGAGTGAATTCCAGGACAGACAGGGTTGCACAGAGAAATACTGTCTCGAAAATAAAATCAAAACAAAGCAGCTTAACAATTATGAGAGGTTCACGGGGCAAATACAGGACTATCATGAAAAGAGGTAGTTTACTGAAGTATACACCCGAAGTGGGCAGAAGGGGCAGTCAGCAATCTGAGTCTGATGGACTGAGAATACTTGTTGCTTTTGCAGAGGACATGGGTTTGGTTCCAGCATGCACTTAGTGGCTCACCTCTATCCTCAATTCCAGTTCCAGCAGTTCTGATGACCTCGTCTGACTTCCACAGGCCATGCAGACAAAATACATTAAATAAAAAGTGGGGGTTGGAAAGGTGCCTCAGCACTTCAGAGCACTGACTGCTCTTCCAGAGAACCTAAGTTCAATTCCCAGCAACCACATGGTGGCTCACAGCCATCTATACCATCAGTGGGATCTGATACCATCTTCTGGCATAAAAGTGTCAGATTCATAAAATCAATAATTAAATCCTAAAAAAGAGTAAATAAATCTAGTGGGGCAGTGGTGGGACAGGTCTTTAATGACAGCATTTAGAAGGCAGAGGCAGATGAATCTCTGGGAGTTCAGGGCCAGCCTGGTCTACTGAGTGAGTTCTGGGACAGCCAGGGCTACACAGAGAAACCCTATGTCTAAAAACAAAAACAAGCCCCCTTTTTTTTTTGGCCAGGAGTGGTGGCAATACACCTTTAATCCCAGCATTTAGGGGGCAGAAGCATTTGGATCTCTTGGGCTACACAGTGAGACCTTGTCTCCTTGTCTCAAAAAGAAAAAAGGAAAGACAGGAATGTTTCATTGTATCATTAAATTTGGCTTTTGTGTCTTAGTTATTATATTTCAGCACAGACAGTTTCTCTTGTAATCCTATTGGGGTTTAGTCACTGGATATAGACTTGATAGACTGGAGGACCAGAGACATGGGCTCCAGACATGGGCTGGAGTCTCAGAAGTAAGGGTTGATGGGTGTGGCATAGGAATGAAGGTTTCCTGTAGAGGGCCGTGGGCCTTGGCAACTGGACTCTGGCTGGGCCAAGCTGCCCTATGTTGTACCTGTCTCAAAGCTACCTCTAAGTACTGTCTGTCCCTTGCACAGGTGTCCCTGGAGCAGCTGAGAAGCCCTAAGTGTTGTCTTGCCAGTTGGTCTCTTCCATGAAAAGAGGGCCAACTGGTTGGAAAGGTGATGTCATTTATTCCCCTGCCATTGTTCATGCAAGTTCTTTTTTTTTTTTTAAATATAATTTATTTAACTTTATTTTATGTGCATTGGTATGAAGGTGTCAGATTCCCTGGAACTGGATTCACAGACAGTTGTGAGCTGTTATGTGGGTACTGGGAACTGAACTCAGGTCCTCTGGAGAAGCAATTAGTGCTCTTAACCACCAAGCCATCTCTCCAACCCCGGGCAAATTCTTTGTCCCACCAGTATTACACCTAATCCTGCCTGAGTCACTCAGAGAAGCCAAACTGTTTCCCCGTGTAGGAAAGACTTCTGAGAAACATCAGGGAGAGGTGTTTGCCCTTTGGGTGCTGCTAGGCATATGGAAAAGGCCTGGGGTGTGCCGGCTTATTCCACTGTGGTTCCTCTGTGTCACTGTGCACGGTCATGTGACTTACCTAAATAAAGCTCAGGGCCAGTTACCACCCTGAAGCACCTGTTACTTTTGGAGAGGACCTGGGTTCAGTTCTCAGCACACACATAATGGTGCAAAGCAGGCTGTAATTCTAGTTCTAGTGGATCCAAAGCCCTCCTCTGGTATCCTTGGGCACCAGGCAAGCACATGGTACACAGACGTGCTTGCTGGGGCTCTCACACACACACAAACACACACACAAGAAAAAAGATTAGAGCCCCATGGTGGCACACACCTTTAATCTCAGCACTTAGGAGGCAGAGGCAGGCAGATCTCTGAATTCGAGGCCAGCCTGGTCTACAAAGTGAGTTCCAGGACAGCCACAACTACACAAAGAACCCCTGTCTTGAAAAACCGAAAGAAAAAAAAAAGGAAAGGGGAATAAAAAAACTAATGTGTTCAGCACTCGGGAGGCAGAGGCAGGCAGATCTCTGTGAGTTCAAGGCCAGCCTGGTCTAGAAGAGCTAGTTCCTTCCAGGACAGGAACCAAAAGCTACGGAGAAACCCTGTCTCGAAAATCAAAAAAAAAAAAAAAAAAAAAAAACCTAATGTGTTGATAAACATCTTTAATCTCAGCACATGGGAGGCAGAGGCAGATGGATGTCTGTGAGTTTGAGACTAACTTGGAGCCAGGTGGTGGTGGCGCACACCTTTAATCCCAGCACTCAGGAGGCAGAGGCAGGCGAATCTCCATGAGTTCGAGGCCAGTGAGTTCCAAGCTAGCCAGGTAGCCAGTGTTACACTGTGAGACCCTATACTGAAAAAAAGAAAAGTCCAAGATAATTTTGGCTCTGGAACTTCAATATTTTAACTCTCCTCATGGAGACCTAATCAGTCAACCTGCCCAGACCTGTAGAATTGTCAATATAGGTGTGGCTTTTTACTGGGAACATCAGTTCACACCAGCCCTCTTTGTACTTTGGTGGTGGTTGTTTGAGACAGCCTCTCAGTAAGTAGCCTTGGCAAGCTTCGAACTTGTAGCCAGGATTTTTTTAAATTTAAGATATATTTATTTATTATATATACAGTGTTCTGCCTGCATATATGCCTGCATGCCAGAAGAAATCACTAGATCTCATGATGGATGGTTGTGAGCCACCATGTGGTTTCTGGGAATTGAACTCAGGACTTCTGGAAGAGTATACAGTGCTCTTAACTTCTGAGCCATCTCTCCAGCCCCATCCCCATTAGCCAGGCTTTTTTTTTTCCCCTTTGGATTTTTTGAGACAGGGTTTCTCTGTAGCTTTTTTTTTTTTTTTTTTTTTTGAGGATGCAACTCTTTATTGGAATATTTTCAATTGTGTTTGCAAACATCAACACTAGGGGAAAACAAAAAGTCTTATTCCATCAGAGCCTGCTGGGTAGCAGCCTCATCAACCTCCTCAAGAAGACACTGGGTCTCATCCTCTTGAGAAAGGTCCTCCTCTTGTATCATTCGCAGGCGGAAATAGTTAACCAAGTTGAAGATCATCTGGGAAACGTCTTCTTGGTAATAAGGAGGCCCGAATATCAAAATCTCTGCATCCTCTTTAGGATGCCAATGGGTCACTTGAAGCAAGGTACGTGATGTACTCTCAACGTGGGATGTACTCTCCATCCTTGCCAGATATCGCTTCCACGAACCAAGGATTCACGTACACTGTTTCTGGATCATCCAGATACTCGGTCCGGAACCACTCGGGCAGCAAGCTAGAGTCTCACTTCAAATAAGGTCCCTTCTTTGTGCTTCAGCTGGACCAGCGACTTATAAGTCTTAAAAGGGACCATGGTGCACCAGTATCGTCACAAACAGCCTAGGCAACTCCAAACCCAGTAAACCCACCCTCTGTAGCTTTTTGAAGCCTGTCCTGGAACTGCCTGTGTCTGCCTCCTTTGAGTACTGGGATTAAAGGCGTGCGCCACTACCACCCAGCTTAAGCAGGCTTTTATTTATTTACTAATTTTAAAAAATTTTAGTTTTGTAAGAGATGGTGGCAGACACCTTTAGTCCCAGCACTTGAGAGGCAGAGGATCTCTGTGAGTTCCAGGACAGCCAGACCTTCAAGAAACCTTGTCTCCAAAATAAAATCTCTCCTCTGGAAGAGCAGCAAAGACTCTTTACCACTGAGACATCTCTTCAGCCACTATTGTAAAAACAATGAGCCCAGCACACGCCTTTAATTCCAGCACTCGGGAGGCAGAGGCAAGACCTTTGTGAGTTCGAGGCCAGTCTGGCCTACAAGAGCTAATTTCCAGGACAGGTACCAAAGCTACAGAGAAACCCTGTCTGGAAAAACAAATACAATACAAAACAAAACAAAAAAACCCACCACCACCAACAGCAACAAAACACTGCTACAACGTTTCATGTAGATATTTAGACGTGTTGATTAGAGGCAGTCCTGGGATTATTAGCCTGCACCACCTCGTCCTTGACCAGAGATTCTTGAAACTTTTTAAACAAAATGTTACCAGCGTTACCCCAAGGACAAAACCTATCCTAAGTGGAGGGCCAGCACTCTGCGGCAGGACCCCTGAATGTGAGGCACAGTGTGGTACTGAAGAGCTGCGCAATGGCCAACAACTGTGGTGTTGAAAACTGCTTCAAGCCAGCTGAACCCCACACGGTGGACCAACACTTCTCCATGTCTTGAACATGGCAAATTTCCCTGACCCCATCATACACTTATGCCACAATCCACCTGAAAACTTGGTGCAGGCCTGTAAGCCATTGGGATGTGGAAGAGCAGGATCAGGGGTTTATAGCCAGCTTCAGCGCCACTGTGAGTTATAGCATAACCTGTGCCAAAGTTCTAATGCCATACTTTGTTCTGAATTCTTTCTGATGTCGAAGATGCTAGGGATTGGCTAAAGGTCGCAGTTTGGTCTCTGAGAGCCTCCCAGCCCTCGCCACTGGTGATGGAGGGACCGAGGGATCTATCCGTACCGCTTCACGCCCGTTTCCAGCTCTGAGCCTTCACCGCCTCACCCAAACTGCCACTGGCTACTTTTCTCTCCCCTGACCTCTTTCTTTGATTGCTCGTTCTCACCTAGGATTCCTAGTCTTCCTCCGGCTCCCACAGCACCACCCTCTCTTACGTGTCCGTCCCGTCCCCGTCCCCCCCCCCCCCCCCCCCGCCCACTTCATTGGCCACCGTTTCTCATTCTCAGGTCTGGCTTCCCCCATTTCCGCAACTCCCACAGCCCTCACACCCTTGGGCCAGGTCGGGGCAAGACAGTCCGTAGTTATTGATGACTTCCTGGCTCTGTGGGTTTGTTTGTGTCTTGATACTTCACATAAGTGGAGTTGGAGTTCTCTAGCACTTTCCATCTGGCTTCCTTCACCTAGGGGAGTTTTATTTTTAGCATGATATTTTTGAGATCTGTTTTTCTTATTTCATGATCAGTTTTTCCCCCGTCCTTTTCCCTCAGCAGCGTTAAGCTGTATGAGTGTATCAATCTGAGTCTTCATGGATTGCTCAATACTCACTTCCATTCTCCGGTTACTGTTGAGCCTGTTATTTGCCAGGTGGCGGTGGTGGAGCACGCCTGCCTTTAATCCCCTGCACTTGGGAGGCAGAGGCAGGTGCTTCTCTGTGAGCTCAAGGCCAGCCTGGTAGGTTTCACAGAGAAAGTGACCAGGCCTCAGCAGCTGGTGAAGTGCTTGCTGTGTCTTAGTTACTGCTCTATGGCTGGGAGGGGACCCCATGGACCAAGGCAACTTATAAAATTAAGCATTTAATTGGGAGTTTGCTTACGGTTTCAGAGGATTAGTCCATGATCATCATGATGGGGAGCAGGGTCACAGCAGGCATGGCAGACCGCTTTCACCTGATCTGAAAGACGGAGGCAGACAGCAAGTGAGACTGGGCCTGGTGTGGGCTCTTGAGAACGCCAAGTCCACCCCACACCTTCTCCATGAAGGCCGCAGTTCCTAATCATTCCTTAACAGACCACTCACCGGGAACCAAACATTCAAATATAGGAGTCTATGGGGCCATGCTAGTTCAAACCACCACACCATGCAAGCTTGAGAATGTGAGTTCTAACCCCGTGTCCATGTAAGTAAGCAAGGAATAATGGCTCAGGCTTGTGATCCCAGCATTGGGAAGGCAGAGACATGTGCATAAACACACACACACACACACACACACACACACACCCCTAAATAAAATAACAAAAATAAACCTTTTAAAACAGACCTTGAGTCTCAAATTTAAGCAAACAGTTTAAAATTTTATTTGCATTTACTTATTTTCTTTGTGGGGGTGAGAGGCACATGGCTGCTGTGCCTGTGTGGAGGTCAGAGGACAATTGGAAGGCGTCAGTTCTCTCCTTCCACCATGTTGGTCACAGGGGATTGAACAAAAAAAAAAAAAAGGAAGGCTTTAACTTTAACATGCTTAAAGGCAGTAAGTGCCTTACTTACTCTCAGGCCACCCCACTTCGTTTTCAACATTTTAAAATTTTGGCTTCTTCGTTGGCAAAGAGGGAATTCAAAATTTAAAATTTTTAAAGTTTATTTTTATGAGTGTCGTGCATACCTGAGTCCTAGGTGCACATGATTGTAGGTGACCATGGAATCGGGGGAAAAGGAGTCGGATGTCTTAGAACTGGACTCATACGACGGTTGTGGACCGCCAGGAAAGTACTGGGAACCGAATTCGTGTCTTTTGCAAAAGGAACATGCAGTTTTTTTTTTTTTTTTTTTTTTAACCGCTGAGTTGGCTCCCACAACCTTAAGGGAATGGATTAAGCGTTATGGTTTCTGAGCATGCAACCTAATAACAAGTTCGTAAAGGCTTGAGATGTTAACTGCAGCGTTATCAGCGACCCTAGCTATTCCTGTATCTATCCTTTATTACGTCCTCCCCCCCACCCCCCGATCCACCGGGTCATTTTACCTGGTAAACCATGCCTTGCACCAAGGAATCTTAGGGTGACAGGATACCTGCCACCGGAGGAGGGGGCGTGGCGCCTTCACCTGGTGCGCACGCGTCGTTGTAAAAAAAAGTCGGCCCTTGGGCGCCTGATTCAAAAATTCAATTTTAACTGTCAGTTTTCCACCTTATTTGTGATGGACTCCTGTACAATATTACTAGCCTTGAAGATGCACCTATTCCTCGTGCTGACTTTATTTCAAACGAAGTCGGTATTCCTACTGGGCTGCCTTCTATTGCGTTGTCAACCCTCAATAAAGTAAAACCCTTTCTCTCCTCGGGCGCTTCTTTTTACTCAGGCACCTCAATAGCTACCTATATCCTCGGGGGTGGAGCCGCGTCTGGACCCGAAGGACCCCAGCGCCGCCGCCATTTTGGAACCTTCCCCGAGGCTCCGCTCCGCTCTCGGGCGTTCTGTCAGCTGCTGCTGGGCCGCGCTGTCGCCGGGCAGGATGAGCGTGATAGACCATGTGCGGGACATGGCGGCCGCGGGGCTGCACTCCAACGTGCGGCTCCTCAGCAGCTTGCTGCTGACCATGAGTAATAACAACCCGTGAGTGGAGGCGGGGAGCGGCGGTCTGGGAGCCGGGGCTGAGGTGGTGGAGGAACCGTGTGGCCCCGCCGAGGCTGCAGGCGGCGAGGCCTCTTCCGGCAGCGGCGGCCTCCCAGAGACCCCGTCCCCCGAGTGTCAGACCTGGAGGTCCCGCCGCGGCGTAGGACGGGGGCCGCTACACTCGGCGCCGAAAGCATCCTTGGCTCGCCGAGTGGCGCCTTTTTTTAAAAGTTTCCCTGCAGCGTTTTGTAAGGCCCGAGGCAGCCGCCGTGTAGCGCCTCGTTTGGTTTTGTTTGTAAACAGGGCCTCTTGTAGACCAGGCTAGCCTGCAGCGGGCTGTCTAGCCGAGGATGGGCTTGAACTTACTACGCTTCTGCCTCCGCCTCCCAGAAGCTGGGGTCGCAGGGGTTTGCACTACCATGCTCGGTGTTCTTTTGGTGCTGGGGATCGATCCCGGCACTTCATGAAGGTTATGCAAGCACTGCCAACTGAGTGACATTTCTGGCCGTGTTTACTAAGTCTCAGATGAAGCCTTGGATGCTTGTTGGACCCTGCTTCAAAATTCCCCCATCATGCTCACTCTTCCGCGTGGCTCCCCAAGCCGAGCGATTCCTTCTTTTCTCCCGTTTCTCCTGAAGCCCGAGCTCACTGCGGGCCAGCCTCCCTGGTTGTGTTTTGAGCTACTGCGGTGCACATGCTGATTGACACCTGCGGCCCCTGCTTAGTCTTCACTTTAGAACTGCCTCCCGGTTCAGGTTTCAGCGCAAGTCACTTCCTAAACAGATCTCCCGCCACCAGAATTGACCTTTTTTGATTTTCTGCTTAACTCTTGCCGCCTGTTGAAAAAGCCCAGTTCCCATTTGTGAGAAGCACTCCTGAACTTCCTGAAAGTGCTGAGGAGCTGTGCAGACCGCAGGAGGTCCTGTGTGTCAGGCGAGGTCATAGAGAACATAGAGGAGCTAGGGTATTTGAATTCTAGTTGTCTCTGATTGGGGTCATTTTTATTGTAATCCACCATTAGGGCCTCCAGATGATGTTACAGTGGAATCTTCTACTCTGTGCAGCTGTTTGCTTTTGGCTTGGCTGAAGCTGGTCTAGGTCAGACAGCCAAAGACTTTGAAGGACCTGTATCCCCCATTTCACTTATTGGTGTGCTGTGGGCCTTACCAGTCACACGCATCGTTTTATCACCATCTTAGTGTGAGATGGGGAACACTGGTCTCTCAACCTGTGTTCATTCTGGAGCCTTTCCTCCTGGGTCAGTGTGATTGGTCGTAGGCAATCCCCTAATCTTTTTTAGGGGGAGGGATTTCTAGAAAAGGTTTCTTTGTGTTGTCCTGCTTTGTAAACCAGGCTGGCTTTGAACTCACAGAAATCCACCTGCCTCTGCCTCCGGAGTACTGGGATTAAAAGTGTGTGCCATCACTGCCCAGCTGCCCTAATCTTTATTCTTTGGTCTTAATGATGTTATAGCATTGTTTGAAGCAGTTTGCTTCTCTAGTTAGACTAAACATAGCTAACCTGTGCTTTTTCTCATTAGGTTGGATTGGCAGTTTTTTAGCTATGGAAGCATTTAGGTTCCTACATTTATCCTTTATATTTTGAAGTTTTTTTAATCGACAGTGTACACCCTGTTAAAAAAAAAAAACAAACTAAAAACAGTTAAAATGGGACTAGTGGGGCTGGCTGGAGAGATGGCTTAGGGGTTAAAAGCACTGGCTACTCTTCGAGAGATCCTGAGTTCATTCCCAGCAATCACATGGTGGCTCACACCCATCTATAATAGGATGTGATGCCCTCTTCTGGCATGCAGGTATGCATACAGAATACTCATAATAAAATATAAATAAATTTAAAAAGAAAGAAAATAATAAAAAGCAGTACTGGTGACATAGTTAAGTGGTACAATACTTAAGTAGAATGTTTGAGGCCCTAGGTTTCATCATTAGCACTACCCAAAATACATTTTTTTTAAAAAAGAGGTCAAGATGGCTAAATACTTTATATAAAGTTACATAATAAACTCAAGGAATCAAAGGTTGGTCTGGTTTGTGATAGCTTTCCTAAGGCTGGAGATGTAACTCAGACATGGAGAGCCCACTTAGCATGTGTAAGACCCAGATGTGGGTTCCTGGTACCACTAAAAGCAAACAGACTCTTGAAATGCCTGATTATATGTATATACTGAAAAATACGCGTTTGATACCTAAGATACTGCTCTACCCACAAAGTGGTCAGTATATGCTGTAACACACTTGCTTTGTAATGTGTCTATGATGTATCTCTGGAATAATACATGAAAAACCCGTTTCCTTTGGATAAGGAAGATGGATGAGTAAGGTCCAAAATTGAGCAAGCAGCCCATCTCTTTATTCATTCTCTGCTCTTTGGTTGTTGTAGAAGTTTCTGTCCTGTCTGGTCCTGCAGCCATTCAGTTCCAAAGAAATACACAGAGGCTTAAATTAATTATAAACTGTTTGGCCTATAAGCTCAGGCTTATTATTAACTAGCTCTTACAACTTAACCGATAATTCTTATCTATGTTTAGCCATGTTGCTTGGTACTTTTTCTCAGTAAGGCATTCTCATCTTGCTTCCTCTGTGTCTGGTTTGCAACCTCCTTCCTCTTCCCAGAATTCTCTTAGTCTGGCTACTGGTTTGTTAAACCAGTGTGAGTGACAAATCTTTACAGTGTACAAGAGCAGGTTGTCTCACACCACACCACCCCCCACCTAGTTTCTCTGCATAGCCCTGGCTGCCCTGGAACTATAAAGTAGGCTAGGTGTGAACTCAGATCCACTTGCCTCTGCCTCTAGAATGCTGGGATTAGACTTGAGTCATTATGCCCAGCTTTGTTTTACTTTTTGAGACAGGGTCTTGGTGAAGCTCAGACTGACCTTGAACTCTTCATCCTCCTGCCTCCACATCCAAGTTCTGAGATTATAGACATGTTCTATTGCACTTGATTTTTTTTAAAAATGATTTTTGGTTTTGTGTGTGTGCATGTACACAGGCATACGAGTACACATAAATAATAATAAAATTATTTTTAAGAAGGTACCACAGATTAGTGCCTTCCAAGGGAAATAGGATTAGGGAATGATTGCTTGGAATTTCTGTTTTTTTATGTGTATGCATCTGCATACACATACACACACACACACACACACACACACACACACACACACACGTGTACCATGTGTACGCATGATGCCTTCAGAGACCAGAAGAGGGCATCGGATTCCTTGGAGGTCAGAACTGGAGTCACAGGTAGTTGTAAGCTGCCTGATAGGTGTGTTGGGAGCTAGACCTGGATCCTCTATAAAAACCCAGATGCTCGCAGGTGGCGGTGGCACAAGTCTTTAATCCCAGCACTCGGGAGGTAGAGGCAGGCAGATCTCTGTGAGTTTGAGGCCAGCCTGGTCTACAAGGACTAGTTCCAGGATAGGCTCCAAAACTACAGAGAAACCTTGTCTAGAAAAACCAAAACAAAAAACCCAAAAATCCCAGATGCTCTTAACTGTGGAGTCACCCCCACTCCTCTTTTTGAAAGGGTCATAGCCCAGACTGATTTTGAACTGATTATATATATAGCCAAAGTTAGTTCTTAGAATGCCTTGTCATCCTGCCTCTGCTTCCAAATAAATGCTATGACTACAAGAGATGACCATACCTGGTAGTGGTACCTAGTTGTTGGGGTTTTAAAATAGCCCTCTCCCTTATCACGTTTGTTTAAGACATGGTCTCAATGCGTAGGTCTTTTTTATTTAAAAATTATTTATTATGTATACATATTCTGTCTGCATGTATGCTTAAACACCAGAAACGGTCACCAGCTGCTGGGAATTTAACTCAGGACCTATGGAAGAGCAGCCAGTGCTCTTAATCACTGAGCCATTATCTACTCCTTGATATGTAGTTCTGGCTGTCCTGGAACTGGGTATTAGACCAGGCTGACTTAAACTCATAGAGATCTACCTGCTTCTGCCTTCTGAGTGTCAGTGAATTAAAGGCCTGTGCCACCACTTATGGCTTCCACTGTTTTTAATATGCATGCCTGCTTATAGAATTCTTTGTCTCAGTCTCTTCTTTACCTGATAGAGAGAAATGCATAATCCTCAATTAGTTTGCAAGGAGTAGGACTGGAATTATCTGATCAGGGTTTCAGATAGAGCTGTGGATCGAATGCTTGCCTAGCGTGCAGAGACCTTGGATGGATAACCCATGCAGGACAAAAAGTAAAGCAGTGTCCAGGCATTTAACCTTGCTGATAAGGACTGGTTAAAATGGTTTCTTTTTGAGAGTAAAGGATGAACTTCTGTGATAGAAGGCTTGCCTGGCATTTGTGAGGCCTTGGGCTTGATATGAAATACTGAAAAAAACAACGTTTGAGAATATGGATTCCCTTACATTATTTTTAAACACTGAGAGTCAAGATGATTAATAGTGCTTCTAGTGTTGAAAAGTTTGTTTTTTGTATGTGAAATTAAAAAGAGACTTTCAGATCCTGGAGAGCTAGCTCCATAGTTTTAAGAATTCTTGCTGCTCTTGCAGAGGACTTGAGTTTGGTTCCCAGAACCCATATCAGTTACTTTCCAGGGGATCCAACATTCTCTTCTGGGAACAATGTACACATATAAGTAATAGTGATGACTTTCTAAAAAGACTTTTTTCGAGACAGGGTTTCTCTGTGGCTTTAGAGCCTGTCCTGGAACTAGCTCTGTAGACCAGGCTGGTCTCGAACTCACAGAGATCCGCCTGCCTCTGCCTCTCCAGTGCTGGGATTAAAGGCGTGCGCCACCATCGCCCCGGCCCTAAAAAGGCTTCTTAAGGCTAATCCTTTTTCATCCTGCCACTTTGACTTTCCTATTCTGTTCTCACACTGGCTTTCAATTTTTTGGGTGCTTGTTTTGTTTGTTTTGGTTTTTCCAGTCAGGGTTTCTCTGTGTTGTCCTGGAACTCTGTAGAGTAGGCTAGTCTTGAACTCACAGAGATCCACCTATTTCTGGCTCCCTAATGCTGTGATTAAAGGCTTATGCCTCCATGCCCAGTTCAGGTGCTTGCTTTTTCAGTGTTTTTCTAAAAAGAATTCATAGTGGTAAATTTTTTTCTTTCTGGAGTCTCTGCCCTTTGGTAATAATAGTCAAGTTGTTGAGATTGATATCCTTGGCCAATATTATCCTTAAAATTTGATGTTAACCTAAGGTAATATAGGTGTATATAAAACAGTGCTAAACTGAGAGGTCTTATTGAGTAGGCATAGGGGGCCATTCTATAATCCCATCACTTCCAAGGCAGAAGCAGGAGGACTGCCATAAATTCAAGGTTGCCTGGGCTACAGAGTGAGGCATTGTCTCAAAATGCAGGAAGAGGGTGGAAGGGCCTTAAAAAGAGAAGGAAAACATTTTTCTTTATCATTTTATTGGATTTGATTTATAGGTATTATTTAGCTTCAGTATTAAGAAAACACTAAGTTGCACAAAATCAGAATACAGTAAGATATCATACTCGATGTGTTGGCTGTATTTTCATGGTGTTCAAATGTTGTGCCTCTTATTTACCTACTTGCACTTAATGTATACTAACTTTTCTATAAACTAACATACAATACTTTTTGTTAGGCTTAAGTAAACACCAAGGTGTAATTTTTTTTAACTCTTTGTGGGCCTCCCACCTAACTCCCAAATAAATATATGGAGTCTTATTCTTACTTATGAATGCCCAGTCTTTGCTTGGCTTGTTCTAGCCAACTTTTCTAACTTAAATTATCCTATTTCTTTTTAACAACGTTTTATTTCTGGACTTTCTTTCATTCTTACTCCATGGCTGGCTGTGTGGCTGGGAGGCTGGCCCCTGTCTTTCTACTCTTCTCCTTTTCTTGCTCTCCCTCTTTTATCTCTGGAACCTATGTTTCTCCTATTTATTCTCTCTCCCTGGCAGCCCCACCTATCGCTCTCCTGTCCAACTATTGGCCATTCAGCTTTTTTTTTTAAGGGGTTTGTTTATTTATCATGTATACAGTGTTCTGTCTGCATGTATCCCTGCAGGCCAGAAAAAGAGTACCAGATCTCATTACAGATGATTGTGAGCCACCAGGTGGTTGCTGGGAGTTGAACTCAGGAAGAGCAATTGAACTCTGGAACAGCAACCAGTGCGCTTAACCTCTGAGCCATCTCTCCAGCCCCAGTCTTTCAGACCAATCAGGTGTTTTAGATAGAGTAACATTAAATTAATATGCCACAGCAGGCATTCTTTCTAATCTTCAAAATAACCTATGTGGGATTTGCTTCTTTTGTTTTCTAGTGAGCTGTTTTCCCCGTCTCAAAAGTACCAGCTTTTGGTGTATCATGCAGATTCTCTCTTTCACGATAAGGAGTACCGTAATGCTGTGAGTAAGTATACCATGGCTTTACAGCAGAAGAAAGCCTTGAGTAAAACTTCAAAAGTGAGACCTTCAACTGGAAATTCTGCGTCTACTCCACAGAGCCAGGTGATTAAAAGAATTGATTAATTTGTTTATTTATTTGGGGTTTTTAAGACAGGGTTTCTCTGTGTAAGTAGCCTTGAATGTATAGGAACCCACTCTGTAGACCATATTGGTCTCAAACTCACAGAGATCTTCCTGTGTCTCCCTCCTGAGAGCTGAGATTAAAGATGTATGCACCACCAATGCCCAGTCTTTGGCGCGCGTGCACACACACACACACACAAATTGTTTTTTGGTGTTTTTTTTTTTTTTTTTTTTTTTTTTTGAGAGACAGGGTTGAAGTATGGGTTGAAACCATTCATTTTGTTATCATGTAATATTCCGTGGTACATGCATGCTGCATTTTGTTTATCTATTCATTGATGAACATTGGGTTGCTTATTCCTGTCTACCATGAGTAATGTGGCTGTAAAGGTTTGTGCCCAAGTTTTTGGGTGAGCTTGTTTTTATTTCTCGATTATATATCTAGGAGCAGATTGCTAGGTTATAAGATGACTTACCCTGTCTAATCTTTTGAAGAACTGTCACACTGTTGAGATCATATTTTGAAGAGATGTTTTTTGTTATCTTGAAGTGTCTTCCTTCTGAAATTGAAGTGAAATACAAAATGGCTGAGTGTTATACAATGCTGAAACTAGACAAAGATGCCATCGCTATACTTGACGGGATTCCTTCAAGACAGAGAACTCCTAAAGTAAGCTGAAGTTTCCTCTTCCCCAGTTCTGTTCACCCTGCCTCATCCTGTATGTTCTCCATGTTTCAGGAAGTCTGTCTGATCATTCTTCTCATGGCTCTCTCATTTTTTTCCCCCCAGACAGAGTTTCTCTTTGAAACAGCTCTGGCCAGACTGGCCTCTAACTCACAGAGATCCACCTCCCTCCCAAGTGCTAGGATTAAAGGCGTGTTCCACCACAGCCCAGCAATCACTCTCATTCTTAACACTTTCTCCCTAGTAGTGGAGTTGGGGTTCAGACAGATGGAAGGTTGACTTTGTTAAAGAGCCCTGAAAATTCAGTTAGGTATAGTGGCGTTCACCTATGATCCTAGCACTTGAGATGGAGGAGGAGGAAAACCAGGTGTTCAAGGCTATCCCCAAACAGACAAATAACAGGAAAAATGTTTGGCTTGGTTTTGAGGTACTGGAGATCCAACCCAGGGCTTCAGGCATGCTCAGCAAGCCCCCATCACTAAGCTGTAGCCATGACCTTTTCTTTTTATCTAAAATTTTAATCTGGAAACAAAGTCTGACTGAGTTACTTAGGCTGTCCTTAAACTGTATAACCAGGACTGGCTTGGACTTTGATGATTCCTATCCCATCCAGCCTTGTAGTTGGGATCACAGGCTTGCACCACCAGACTCAGCTATTCCTTAGCCTGCCTGCCTGCTGTCCGTCCTTCCTTCCTTCCTTCCTTCCTTCCTTCCTTCCTTCCTTCCTTCCTTCCTTCCTTCCGTCCTTCCGTCCTTCCGTCCTTCCTTTTTTTTCTTTCTCTTTCTCTTTTTTTAAAGATTTGTGTGTCTATGTGTTGTTATGTGTATATTAGTACAGGTGCTCACAGAGGCATTGAATCTCCTGGAGCTGGAATTAACATTAGTTGTGAGCCATCTGATGTGGGTGTTGAGAACCAAATTTAAGTCCTCTGGAACCTCTGGAATAGCAGCAATGCTCTTAACCACTGAGCCACCTCTCCAGCCCGTTTTTATTATTTTTAATTGTGTGTGTGTGAGAGAGTGTGTGTGTGTGTACCTGCAGAGGCTAGGGGTGTGAGATCCCCCTGGATCTGGAGTTACAGGCAGTTGTAAGCTACCTGATGTGGGTGCCGGGAACTGAGTTCAGGTCCTCTGGAAGAGTAATAGATACATGTTCTTAACACTGACAGCTCCCTCCTGTCCCTCTTTGACATTTCTTCATCTCAGGAATAGTGATCTGAAGAGTACTGCAGGTCCAAATACACTTTTAAAAAGCTTCTTCCTTTTTTATATTTAATGGCGTGGTCATTTGATAACAGGAATATTGTATTAATCTTTCCCTTTGTAAAATCAAAACTACAAGCTACTCTTTGAACTGAGGAGGTGGCTCAGTGGATTGAATGCTTGCTATGTAAACATGAGGACCAGCATTTGGATGCTCAGTGCCAATGTAAAAAGCCCTCTGTAGCAGCACATGTCTATAGCCCCAGAGCTGGGGTGACAACAGGCTGGCCATCCAGTGTAGTAGATTTCCGAGTTCCAATGTCAATGGGAAATGGCATCTCAGTAGACATACAGGGTTGATTCTGGACTCCACACGTGTGTATGTATGTACCCACATACTTGCATGCATCTACACATGAGCACATACACAAGAAGACTACATTATCCCTTGGTACATACTGGCAAAATATATATTTGTGTTTAATTTGGTAGTGTATTAAAGAGTGTGCTTTTAACTGGAACTGGTTAGACATCTGAACTATGTATATGTATGCCCTGGCAGGGAGGACAACTTAGCAATTGTAAATATTTTATTTTTTTATAGCTAATAGCGTTTTTGCATTTTCTTTGTGAATCTTTTTGAAAGCTTATTAAGTTCATGAATATAAAAATAGCCTTTTTCTTTCTTTGATTCTTTTTTTCTGAACTGGGAATTGGGCTTACAGCTCTGTGTTTGCCAAACAAGCATGTTACCACTGAGCAATACCCCTAGGTGTAAAATTACTTTTTAAAATACTATTCTACGAAAATAAAGTGCTGTAAACAGTGCTTTAGGTGTCTATCCTTTTCTTGTGTGTGTGTTGGGGTTTGTTTGTTTGTTTGTTTGTTTGTTTGTTTGAGACAGGGTTTTTCTGTGTAGCCCTGGCTGTCTTGGAACTTGCTCTGTGGACCAGGCTGGCCTTGAACTCATAGAGATCCACCTGCCTCTGCTGAAATTAAAGCCTTAAGCCATCACTGCCTTTTTTTTTTTTTTTTTTTTTTTTTTTTTTTTTTTTTGTAATTTTTAAAGATTTAATTATGTGTGTGAATGTTTTGCCTGTATGTATGTATATGCATCACATGCTTGCTTGGTGCCCAGTGAAGTCAAAAGAGGTCGTTAGATTACTTGCAAGTGGAGTTCTGATGGTTGCAAGATGTCATGTAGGTGCTAGGAATTGAACACAGGTCCTCTGGATCAGCAGCAGTGCTCTTAACTGCTGAGCTGTCTCTCTAGCCTTCTGTTTACAATTTTTTTAAAAAAAAATTTATTGTGTTTACAGTATGAACTACGTGTATGAACCAGATCTCATTATAAACGGTTGTGAGCCACCATGTAGTTGCTGGGAATTAAACTCAGGACCTCTGGAAGAGCAGCCAGTGGCCAGTGCTCTTAACATCCAAGCCATCTTTCCAGCCCCTTCTCTTTGCATTTTCAAAATGACCTCTAAAATGCACTACCTAAAGCCAAATAAAATAGTTTAATTTATAGCATTTTATTATTTCAGTGTAGGCATCAGTGTGAATTAAGTTTTGTATAAGACTTATATACTGAGGTTTATAATTGAAACAGATGTTCTTTTCAGAGCCACTGTGTTGAGTAAACACATGATATCTGGTATGTCAAGTTGCAGATAACTGAAAATTTTAAAGATTTTTTTACTTTTGTGCTCTCATAGCCGCTGCTTTCCTCAGGTTAACAATCTACCAAATACCATCTTGTTTAGAGCCTAAATTGGGGCATGGTCGTTTTCTCTTTGTACCATAAAGATTATCTGTCTTTTAATTTCTGTGTCTATTTGTATATACTTGTATGTTATTGTTTGAGGTTTACTTGTATCTTAGTGAATATGCTGTACACTCTTTGTTACAGTGTGTCCTGGGCACTTGTATGTTAGTATGTTGTGTACACTTATATGTTAGCATGTGCACTGTATGTTTGTGTGTGTTAGTGTACTTGCCTGTGTGGGTCTATGAGGAGGCCAGAGGCTAATGTTGGAATGTCTCTTTTAGTCTTTCCACCTTTTTTTTTTAAAAAATATTTATTTATTTATTATGTATACAATATTCTGTCTGTGTGTATGCCTGCAGGCCAGAAGAGGGCACCAGACCCCATGACAGATGGTTGTGAGCCACCATGTGGTTGCTGGGAATTGAACTCAGGACCTTTGGAAGAGCAGGCACTGCTCTTAACCACTGAGCCATCTCTCCAGCCCCCCACCTTTTTTTTTTGAGACAGGGTCTCTCACTGAACTTAGTGATCCATGTTTTTGGCTCGAATGGCTGGTCAGTGAGTTGTCAGTCCTAGGGTTGCAGTTGCAAGCTGCAGTACCCAACTGTTACAAGAGTCCTGGGGATTTAAATTCAAGATTCTTGTGGTTGCCTGCACTGTGTCCACTGAGCCCAACCTTCATCTTTGTAATTTGTACATTCTTTGATACTTTTAGTTTTTCTTGGAAATGTAGGGGTAGGAGCGAGAGTGTTTTATTTATTTATTTATTTTACTTCACTGCTACTGTGTGTGACAGCACTGCACCAGAAGTCAGAGCAACTTTCAGGAGTCCATTCTCTACTTCCACAGGGATTGGCTCAGGTTGTCAGGCATGTGCAGCAAGTGCTTTCACCTACTGAGCCTGCTTGCTGCCCTGGTTAGGTGTTTTTGTAATAAGTTTATTCATTTCTTTCTTTTTGGTTTTTCGGGACAGGGTTTCTCTTTGGAAACCCTTTGGAGCCTTCTTAGAACTTGTTCTGTAGACCAGGATGGCCTTGAACTCAGAGATCCACCTGTCTCTGCCCCCGAGTGCTGAGATTAAAGGTGTGTGCCACCACCATCTGGCCTTATTGTTTTTTTGTATATGTATTTGCATGCATATATGTATGTGCAGCATATGTGTGCTTGGTACCTGTGGAGGTCAGAAGAGGGTATTGGAAATTGCCAGGTGGTGGTGGCACATGCCTTTAATTCCAGTACTTAGGAGGTAGAGGCAGGCAAATCTCTGAGCTGGAGGCCAGCCTGATGTACAGCATGAGTTCCAGGACAACCCGATCTATAGAGAGAAACCCTGTCTTGAAAAACCAAAAAAAAACCATTCAGCCTAATAAATGAACAAACTACCTGGAAATGGAGTTATAGATGGATGTGAAGTACCATGTGAGCACTGGGAAACAAACCTGGGTCCTCTGTAAGAGCAACAAGTGCGCTTACCCACTGAGCAATCTCTCCAGCTCTCATGTTTGGGTCTCTTTTTTTGAGAGGTTTTCAGTATGTATCCCAACTTAGCCTTGAACTTGTGATCATCTGCATCTGCCTCTCTAGTGCTGGGGATTATAGGTATAGGATTATAGGGTTTTTAATGAATGATTTCTTTTGAAATAGCTTTATTAAGTACCATATTTAAATTTTTCTGAAATGTAGATGTCTTATCTCACTGGATTTAAATAATGTGCTTAGTCTTTGAGTCATGTCACTTTTGGAGATCACTTTGAGGTTTTTTTGGGGGGGGGGGTTTGTCTCAATATGGTGAGTAGACAGTTCTAGTTTAAGTAGTAGACCATACTTAGTCTGCCAGAAGCCAAGTTTGTCTGTCTGTTTTCCTTGGTTTATGTAATTTATTTGGTGTGTGTGGGGTATCTGATCCTTCTTAAACATCTATGTCAAATGTTGTAAGCTCGGTGTTGTGGCTCATGCCTGTAATTACAGCATTTAGGAAACTGAGGCTGGAGGATTGCTGTAAATTTGTGGAATAGCCAGGCTGAACTACTAAATAAAAAACTTAAAAAAAAAGCTAGCAGCCAGTTGTACCTGTCTGTCATCCTGTGCTTAGGAGGTGAGGCATAAGGATCAGGAATTCAAGGTCCTCCTTAGGTACACAATGAGATTGAAGCTCAGGATGGCTCATCAGTTAAGTGTTTGCTGTTCTTCCTGGGGCCAGAGTTAGTTTCCCAGCACCCACATCAGTAGCTCATAACCACCTGTAAGTCCAGCTCCAGGGGATGCTCCACCTCTGCTGATCTCCAAAGGCCCCCCCATGCACACCCACACACTCTTATGCTCACAGACACAGTCACATTTGTGCACATAAATAAAAATAGTCTTTTTAGAAATTGGGACAATGTCAGTCAGTGGTGGTGGCGCACAGCACACCTTTAATCCCAATACTTGGCAAGTAGTAGCCAGCGGATATCTGTGAGTTTGAGGCCAGCCTGGTCTACAAAACAAGTTCCAGGACAGGCTACATGGAGAAACTCTGTCTTTTTTTTTTTTTTTTTTTTTTTGGTTTTTCAAGACAGGGTTTCTCTGTAGCTTTGGAGCCTGTCCTGGAACTAGCTCTTGTAGACCAGGCTGGTCTCGAACTCACAGAGATCCGCCTGCCTCTGAGAAACCCTGACTTGAAGGAAAAAAAAAAAATTAAGATTTCTTCATTTTTTTCTTTTTTGAATAAAGTTTTTTTTTCTCAACCTTTATTGATTCTCTGTGGATTTCACATCATGATTCCAGATTCCACTGATCTCCCTGTCCCTTTGCTTCCCCCTTCTGCCTGTGCAACCTCCCCCCCAAAACAAAACAAAAGTTAAAAGAAAAACAACAAAAGAAAAAAGAATCTCTTGGTGGAAGCAGTAGTATGTTGCTGAGTCACACAGTTTACCCATTAGTCCATTCATCTTTACTTGTAAATGTTCACTTCTATGGGTCATTTGTCTGGTTTGAGGCCTCTGGCTTCTGCTACACCCCCGATAATGGGCTTTCTCTGGGACTCCCCTTGGAGATCCTGTTGGTTCGTCCTCTTCACATGCTTCAAGTTCATAATTGCTGTGGATGTTGGGGTGGGTTAACTCATAGATCTGGGTCTGGGTGGTAGCTGGCTTGGAAGACAGGGTTTCTCTATGTAACAACCCTGGCTGTCCTGGAACTCACAGAGATCTGCCTACCTCCGCCTCCCAAGTGCTGGGATTAAAGATACGTGCCACCATGCCTGGCTTCTTCACTTTCTTATGCTTTAGTACTAAATTTAAAATACGAGTTTAGGCTGGAAGGGTGGCTTTAGCAGTTGGGAGTGTGTACAACTCTTGCAGAGGACCTGAGTTCAGTTCTCAGCACTCATGTCAGGTGGTTCAGAGCCACCTGTAACTCTAGCTCCAGGGTAATTAACCCCTTCAGCCTCTGTGGGCACCAGTACTCACACACACAGAAACACAGGTGGGAGGTGCATGCATTTACAAGAGGCAGGTAGATCTTTTATGTGATCCAGGCCAAAAGGGCTACACAGTGAGACTCTGTCTCAAAACAAAAACGAACAACAACAACAAAAATCTTTAAAATATATCAGCTTGAGCACTTCTGGAGCCATTCATCTTAACAGCAAAAATCAAAGTAACTAAAATTCTGGTGCATTTCTTGAGTCTGTGTTAATCCCAGAAGCAGCATCTTTGGTTAGATATAAAGAGGTTATTTGGAAGGATTACAGAACTAGGAAAAATAAGGATAATTGTTCTTTGTTTTGAGGAATGGAATCAATCTTAATTTACACAGGGCTGTGGGTAGATTTTTCTAATAGAAAGCAGAATAGTAATTGGGAATAAAAATCAGAACTTGCTCATGGTGAAGTACTTCCTTTGCAGATACACTTGCTTTACTGTCCTTTGTTTTTTGTGTGTAGATAAACATGATGTTGGCAAACCTGTACAAGAAGGCTGGTCAGGAACGCCCATCAGTCACCAGCTATAAGGAGGTCCTGCGGCAGTGCCCCTTGGCCCTTGACGCCATTCTAGGTATAGAAAGTTTTCTTCCTGTTGCCTGGGGTATTTGCAGTCAAAGATGATAGTTCTCAGTTATGAGTATGCGTTAGATAGAGTAGGGCATTTTTTTTTAGACTTTAATTTTATTTTGTATGAATGAGTTTTTTGCCTGTATGTATATTTGTGAACAATGTGTGTGCCTGGTGCCCGTAGAGGATAGAAGAGGACATTGAAATCCAAGAACTGGAGTTGTGGATAGTTTTAAGTCATGTGGGTTCTGGAAATCAAACCCAGATCCTCTGCAAGAACAGCAAGTGCTCTTAACCATTGAGCCATTTTTCCAGTCCCTAGAGTAAGCCTAAAACTTTCTAAATACTGTCATTTTGAAATAAAGGGTTAGGGGAATAGCACAGTGGCAGCATGTGCTTACCATTCATGAGGCTCTGACCTCTTGGTGTTGTATGCATCGCTTAGACTAGGGAAGGCAGCTATGCAGCCTGCTGTTTGCTGCACTGTGGGAGGAAGATGCTATGCCTCACCTTTCTCTTGCTTTTGGGGGGATTAGGTTTGTTATCCCTTTCTGTAAAAGGCGCAGAAGTGGCATCTATGACGATGAATGTGATCCAGACTGTGCCCAACCTGGACTGGCTGTCCGTGTGGATTAAAGCATATGCTTTTGTACACACTGGGGACAACTCGAGAGCAATCAACACCATCTGGTGAGAGCCAGGATATAAACTCTGAGATTGTTTTGGTGGGAGGCATGGTCTGAGATAATGTAAGATCTTACTACTTGGCCTGGGCTTTCCTTGAATTGGCCTCAGTCTCCCAGCCTCAGCGTCCCTATTGCTGGTATTATAGGCATGAGCCACCAAGCCTGGCTTAATCCAAGGATTTTAAGGCCCTTTGCTTATCTGGAGATCTGATGTATTTCTGGTAAAGCAGAAAAAGTAGATGCTTACTGCTTGGCATTACAGTCTTTAGGCAGTGTTTTCTAATGCACTAAATGGTTGCAAATGTAATAAACTGTTGGAACCTGTAAAAATGAAAAGCTGGACTGTTCATGTGAAGATGGCCACCCTTAGTGAGCAAACTGCTGTGGATGTCATATGTTCACGCCTTTTTCTTCGTATTTATTGTAACACCTTACATAGGGTGCCTCTTTGTAATTGGCATTTCTTTCTATTCATAGTCCTAGGACAAAAAGCTATATATTTTTTTCAGTCATGAGTAGTTGTCACTTGTGAATGACATATAAAAATTATGTGTTTTTTTTAAACTATAGTCTTGCTAGGTGTGGTGGTACACACCTTTAATCTCAACACTCAAGAGGCATAGGTAGGCTTGCCAATACTCCATAGTGAAACCCTGTCCCAAAAAAAAAAAAATTAAGGAAAATCATAACCAGGTTTATATTCGATACACACACATACACACACAATTTCATTGTATAACTTTAAACCATTTTATTTATTTAATTTTATGTATATGGTTGTTCAGTCTGCATGTATGTTTGTATCCCATGTGTGTGCTAAGTGCACAGAGGCCATTGGATTCCCTGGGAGTGAACTTATAGGTAGTTGTAAGCTGCTGTGCTAGGGCTGGGTTGAACATGTGTCCTTTTTAAAAGTTTTTAAAATTGCATTTGTATGTATTTATTGTTCATGGGCACAACTTGGAGGAGTCTGTTCTCTCCTTTTACTGTGTAGGTCCCAGGGATCAAATGCAGATCATCAGGCTTAGTGGCAAGTGCTGCCCTTACCTGTTGGGCCATCTTGCTGGCTTTATTATTATTATAGCTAGGAGTTACTGTGCCTGTGTAAAAATACCAGAACTTGGGAGGTGGAGGATCATGAGTTTAAGGCCAACTTGAATAAAGTAGTAGACCCTACCTCAAAAAAACAACCCCCAAAAACCTTTTTATGAAAATATTGTACATACAGAAAAGTATGTCATTTATATGCCCCCAAATGCAATGATTAAAGCTCTATGACAGATTCTAAGGGTTAGTATTTAATATCTTTTAAGTTCACTGGAGAAAAAATCCTTACTGCGAGACAACGTGGACCTGCTTGGGAGCTTGGCAGACCTGTACTTCAGAGCAGGAGACAGTAAGAACTCCGTCCTCAAGTTTGAACAGGCGCAGATGTTGGATCCTTATCTGATAAAAGGTGAATTCTCCAGCCGTAGAGTGTCTGTAAAAGGCAGCTAAGAGAAAAGGCAGAAAGAATGTGGCGTTGGCACCTTGTGTTTCTTGGTTTTTGTTGTTGCTTTTAGGCTTATTTTTAATTGTGTGTAACTGTGTCTGTGTGTGGGCATGTACACGTGAGTACAGTGCCCTTGGAGGCCAGAGGTATTGGATTCTCCAGGAGTTGGATGACCCATGTGACATGGGTGTGAGAATCCACTCAGGTCATATGAAGAGCAGTACATGCTCTTTATTGCTGAGCCATCTCTCCAGCCCCTTGTTTTTTATTGTTTGAAGAGAGGGTCTCATGTAGCCAGGCCACCCTTGAACCTGGCTTTGAATTCTTGATTCTCCTGCTCCTACCTTCCGAGGAGGCATGTGCTGCCATGGTGCCCAGCTCTGCTACTGTTGTTTTTCAAGATAGCTTTTGTGAGGCTCCCTTACTGGAGCAGTCCTTTCCCTTGTCCTGGCGTATGTCTCTAACACTTAGCTAATTCTATTCTGAGTGGTTGTTTTGACTTGAATATAAGTGTTTTCTCCCCACAGACCATTGCTTAGCTTTTTCTTTTAAGGGGTATCATGGCACCCGTCCCCGTGAATTATAAATTTATGATGTGGCTGACTGATGGCATCTGCAGAACCCTAATGTCCTTTTAGGGAGTTTGGTTTTACTCTGTCCTTAGTATAATTATGGAGAAGTAGGATATTAGGAAAGGGACAGAGTGGTTAAAGTGTCATCAGAGCAGGCAGAGCAGCTGTTGGTCTAGAAGCAGTTCCAGGTAAAGGAACAAGGAACAGTGGCCTGAGAGACAGGTAAGGGACCAGCAGTTTGAAAAATTGAATGCTCGGGGTAGAGAGAAGTGAAATCATAAAGACTCAACAGAGGCCAACAGAAGACTCTGCCTCGGGACAGCAAGCAGGCTTTTTAGATGAGTAAAGAATGACTGAACAATAGTTCTAACACTCAGGAGGCAGGATTGTGAGATCAAGGCTAGCTATACAGTGAGACCCTGACTCAACCAAACAAAAAAGATGACTGAGTATGAAAGGGCCTTCCCAAGTATCGAGATGTGGGAACGGTCTAGAAAGTGTGTTCGTGCAAGATCTTCCCGTCTGGTGTTTATTCCTCGTCAGTCTACCTACACCACATTAGTAATCCCAGCACTTGAGAGGTAGAAAAAGAAGGGTCAGCAGTTCAAGTTCATTGGCCATTCTGGGCTACTTGAATAGAAGCCAGCAATAGTGGTATACACCTTTAATTCCAGCACTTGGGAGGCAGAGGCAGGCAGATCTCTGAATTTGAGGTCAGCATGGTCTACAGAGTGAGTTCCAGGACAGCCAGAACTACACAGAGATACTTCTGTCTGGAAAAAACAAAAATCACAGAACAAAACAAAAAACCCAACAAAAAAAAAGTAAAGAGAGAGAGAAAAAAATTACAGTGTTTAGAAAAATAAGAGCCTGATGGCATTGGTAGCTTGGAATTGGATACTTACACTCAAAACCCAGGCCAGCAGAAGTGTGGCTTTGATCTTGCTGTGAGGAGTGGGAATTTGAAGGGATGATAAGGAAGGAGAATAGTAAGAGGAGGTTCGTGAGAGTCAGCACGGCCTTTATAAACCATGAGGGAGGAGTGAAAGGGACTTGGCAGGGTGAAGAATGAGAGAGGTGTGTTCCCTAGTGAACTACATTCCAGAACAGAACTACAGCTTTTTGGGGCACAGGCCAGAGGCCATTTTTATTTGTTTGTTTGTTTGTTTGTTTGAGACTGGGTGTTTTTCAGCATAGTAAGCATGTGCTGATGGCTGAGGGCTCTTGAGTAACAGCAATTATGAGATGCTTTTTTTTTTTTTTTTTTTTTTTGGGCAGTTGTTCAC